CAAACTTACCCCAAATTGTCCACAGACAAACTTAAATTAGGAAACCGTAAAAATTCTGAAAGAAAACATAAAAAAAAAAAATCTATATGACCTTGGATCTGGGGATGACCTTAACACACATCACCAAAAGCCTATCAACAAAAGAAAGAAGTTAATAATGTGGATTTTATAAAATTAGAAATTTCTATTCTGTGAAAGGAAAGCCAAAGACAAACCACAAATAGATGTTTGCAAAACATATATCTAGTAAAGGATTTGTTCTTATTTTGTCCTAAGAACTCTAGAACAAAAAACCTCATTAAAAATGGGCAAAGATCAGAACAGACTCCTGGCCAAAGAAGATATGCAGAGCAGAAATAGTCACACAAGAATACACTCAACATCAAGAATACATGCATCACAAACCACTGTTGTTGTTCAGCTGCTAAGTCGTGTCTGACTCTCTACAACCCCATGGACTATATGTAGCCCACCAGGCTCCTCTGTCCATGTGGTTCTCCAGGCAAGAACACTGGAATGGGTTGCCATTTCCTTCCCTATCACATACCATTAGGGAAATACAAATCAGAACGTGACAGTACTGCACATCTATTAGAACTGCTACACTTCAAAACATGACAATATCTACTGCTGGAGGGGGAAGAACAAGAACTCTACTTCTCTGCTGGTGGAGTACAGGTACAATCATTTTTGAAGACAGTTTGGCATTTTCCTATAACTAAACAAGTCTTACCATAGGATATAAAAATCAAACCTATAGTATTAAGACAATTGTTTTGAAAAACTGTGTTCAAACAAAACTACTATAAATTATATACATCAGCTCTATCCATAATGGCTAAAAGCTTGAAGGTACTAGGATATTCTTCTATAGATGAATGCATAAGCATATTGGGGCACTAACATGTGAAGGGCAAGAACATATGCACCCCAATATGCCTGTTTAATATAAGAATTATTTTAGGCTGATTAATTTTCTAAATTGCAAACACATATCTATAAATCCATCAGAAGTTACCTTTTTATGAGGTCACTACAGAGGGGGCCTCAGCAAAGAATGAAGAAAGGTACAGGGAAAATCATTTTTCCCATCCTACACAGTCAATGGAATAGTTTTAGCTATTGAAAGAAATGAATAACAAACCCAAGCAGAGACAAAGATGACTCTACATATATATTGCTAAGTGTTAAAATATAAAATAACATAATGTAAGAGACAAAAAACAAGAACATAATTTATTTGGCATCTTAAGAATTGCTATTCAGAAGACAGACTGAGGTAACCCTGAAAGTGTTCTTGGTGAAAGATTCTTTTTTTTCCCCCATTTATTTTTATTAGTTGGAGGCTAATTACTTTACAATATTGTAGTGGTTTTTGTCATACATTGACATGAATCAGCCATGGATTTACATGTATTCCCCATCCTGATCCCCCCCTCCCACCTCCCTCTCCACCCGATTCCTCTGGGTCTTCCCAGTGTACCAGGGCCGAGCACTTGTCTCATGCATAGAATCAATACTGTCAAAATGGCTATACTACCTAAAGCAATCTATAGATTCAATGCAATCCCTATCAAGCTACCAATGGTATTTTTCACAGAACTAGAACAAATAATTTCACAATTTGTATGGAAATACAAAAAACCTCGAATAGCCAAAGTAATCTTGAGAAAGAAGAATGGAACTGGAGGAATCAACCTGCCTGACTTCAGGCTCTACTACAAAGCCACAGTCATCAAGACAGTATGGTACTGGCACAAAGACAGAAATATAGATCAATGGAACAAAATAGAAAGCCCAGAGATAAATCCACAAACCTATGGACACCTTATTGTCGACAAAGGAGAAGAATATACAATGGAAAAAAGACAACCTCTTTAACAAGTGGTGCTGGGAAAACTGGTCAACCACTTATAAAAGAATGAAACTAGAACACTTTTTAATGCCATACAAAATAAAACTCATACAAAAATAAACTCAAAATGGATTAAAGATCTAAATGTAAGACCAGAAACTATAAAACTCCTAGAGGAGAACATAGGCAAAACTCTCTCCGACATAAATCACAGCAGGATCCTCAATGACCCACCTCCCATAATATTGGAAATAAAAGCAAAAATAAATGGCACCTAATTAAACTTAAAGCTTTTGCACAACAAAGATTCTTGTTTTATCCCAGAAAAATTCTCATCTCCCAGAGATGAGACAGAGAAATCAAGAAAGTAAAGCAAGCATTTATTTAAGCTAAAGTACACTCTGAGTGGGGAGAGCAGACAGGCTCAGGCGAATAGCTACCCTGAGGTTTTTTGGCAAGCCAGTCACGTGAAATGTAATATTCGCTGGGGAGAGAGGAGTTTGGGGGTCATGTTCTCTAATTTTTATCACAGCGCCATCTTCCTGGAGGGAAGAGGGATTTTTGTCCTTATTTAGCATTGATAAGAAATGTCACAGCATCGGTGTAGGATGGACACTTATCTGCAAGGCTTATTTTATTGTAATGAAAGCATAATGAGCAAAAGGTTACATTCAAACACACCAGATATTCCTGCATTTTCCCACATTTCTTTGTTCTGCCTTCAGGACACTTATCTCCAAATGTATGGTTTCCAGCATGGAAGTTCCAAGGATCCCCCTCTCCTCTGCACAAGATGCATGGCTTCCTGCCATCTGACCCATGCTCCCCTTTCTCTGCTCATATCTAGTTTTTTTTGTTGTTTAGCCACTCAGTCATGTTCGCCTCTTTGCGACCCCATGGACTATAGCCCCACCAGGCTCCTCTGTCCATGGAATTTCACAGGCAAGAATTGTGGAGTGGGTTGCCATATCTAGCTATCTTCCTGTTTTAACAAAAACATTCTGGAGGGAGAGAAAGAGACAGGCAGTGAGGCTGATAAAAGTTGCCTGGCGACAGTCATGACTGACTCTGTTGGAAGTCTGGAAATGTTTGTCCTTAAAAGAATCACCAGTTGTTTCAGGGTAGAAGTAAAAAAAAAGTTGATAGATTTCCATGAATTACTTTAGTATAAAAAGTCAATAAGTAAACAGGCTGCCTGCCATGAGTTTCTGACAGATGTGCTGGAAGACTTCAACAGGTGAAAGACACAAACAAAATAAACCCTAAAATATGGAAAATACAAACAGAACAACTGACCATCCTCTGGCCCTTTCTTCCTACTCGTCCTCCTCTCCGTGTTCTGGGACGTCGAGAAATGAGGAAGAGTTGTCTGGCAGCTCCCCTTAGACATGACTGCACCTAATGTCTTCACCTCCCCTAAGCATGCCCCACTCATCAGGTACACCATGCCAGATGGAGCCTCAACAATCAATGATCCTGATGTGTCAGCACTTTTTTTTATTACAAGGGACTAGACACACTCAAGTGAAATAAGTATTATATTATAGATGATAGAAAGTAATCTTTACAAGAGACAAGTTGAAGAGTGGGTTCAGAGGTGTCAGATCCAAGGGCTCACATAGTGTGCAACCTTGCCCCTCTCTGTCTGTCAGTCCTGCTGAAGGTCTTACGGTGACTCCACTCACAGGCAGTCTCTCACCAGCACCTCCAGGATGACACAAGCTCAAAGTCCATTCTACTGTGAATAGTTTCTCCCTCACTAGGGTTCCATGAAAACTCATGACTTGGAATGCCTTTGGTCTGGCTTGGATAACATTCTCACCCTTGCACCGATCAAAGCAATCAGAGGACAGAAAAGGGAACTGGCTAGATAGGTATCATGTACCCATCTTCCAGATGGGTGGAATGCAGGGTCAGCCCTCTTAAACTGTCTGGACTGGAAGCCCGTGAGATGTAGCTCCCTAAGGAAAGCTGAGGTGCTATACTTGGACATGTGGACAGATTCTGGCCTGGTGAAAGCAGCAGATCCCACTGCACAGCACAGAATCTGAAGCACAAGGTAAAAAGGGATTTAGAGTCAGTGGCTATAGCTACCTGTCGAATGCTCTTGCTATCCAGCCACAACAAGTTCTCCCATTTGCTGAAGAGCAAGGATGATGATGGTGGTAAACTCCAGGCTCCAGCTTTGAACACCAGGTTCTTGCATCTCAAGAGACTGGCCCAGAACAGGTCTCATGCCCTTGCAAGGCCCACAGACCTGTCTTGGTCCTGGGAGGTGGGAGCTCAGGATTCAAGCCTGCCCTTGGCCACATTAATCAACCACTCCCCCAAACCACTCATTTTTCCAGCCTCTTCTCTCTGTGCTACAAAGAACAGATACCAAATCCTAAGGGTGGTATGGAAATCCTTGCTCAATGAAGTACTGGGAGTTTCAAGGATTATTCAATACCATGGAATTCATAACTGGTAGGCTTTCCAAAGTCCACATGGGTGCATGTGGTTCTCCAAACACCAAGAAGCCTGTGAAACCATCCATTAGGAGGCCACATTGTTCACATATCTTTGACTCTTAACAAGTACAAATGTCAAAAGTTTGCAACAACTGGAAGGTGAAAGGATTGCATGGCCATAGTCTTCTGTCTGGTTGCTGTGGCCAGGGCCACACTCAACATTAGGAGGGTTATTAACTTGGTCTGGGATTCTAACTGGACTATCCTGGGTCATCTATTGACATATGAACCAAGAGCTGTAGCCTGAGGGAAGGAACTTGCAGCTAAACTGGGCCTGTGTCACACATTCTACCCGAGTGGAAGATGGAAGGCAAAGGAAATATCATGTACTGTTACCAGTAAAAGGGGGTAAAAAATTCTGGGAGCCCAAAACAACCAACATCCAGCACAGGCTTCTCTCCAGGGTGGACACAATCTAGCTGGGAAGATGTCCTAAAGGTTTTTTCATACTTGACACAGTCACAGGGTTTCTTTCTAGTATGGACTCTTTGATGCTGAAGCAGATTTCTTTCGCTCGTGAAAACTTTTCCACACTCATCACAGGATGTCTCCTGAATATGGATTCTTAGATGTCTTTTCAACTGAGCCTGAGTACTAAACACTTTTCCACAACATATACAGTCAAAAGGTTTCACCTCACTGTGGACTCGCTGGTGCCGAGTTAGTTTTGTACGGAAATTGAAGGCTTGCCCACATATTTTACAAGAGTAAGGCTTTTCCCCTGTGTGAATACGCTGATGCTGACTAAGATGAGAAGTCCTTCCAAAGCTTTTGCCACACTCATTACACTCATATGGTTTCTCTCCAGTGTGGATTTTCTGATGTCGCAGAAGTGGTGAATTACCAACAAAAGCTTTTCCACACTCATTACACTTATAAGGTTTCTCTCCAGTGTGAATTCTCTGGTGTATAACAAACTCTGAACTACTGGTGAAACCATTTCCACACTCCCTACAGAAATAGGGTCTGTCCCCACTGTGGATTCTCTGATGCCTAATCAGATTTGCATTATCGTTAAAGGCTCTCCCACACTCTTCACACTGATAGGGTTTCTCACCAGTGTGGATTCTCTGATGTCGAATTAATGAAGAATTGCCATTAAAGGCTTTTCCACATTCATTACACTCAAAGGGTTTCTCCCCAGTGTGGATTCTCTGATGTCTAACATAATACGAAAAATAGCTGAAGCATTTCCCACACTCTTCACATCTGAAGGGTTTCCCATCATAGTGGATTCTTAGAACCTTTCCTCTAACATTTTTCACTATGGGGATTTCCTGGTGTTGCTCCAGTTCACATGTTTCTAGGAAGCTGCTTTTGTTAAGAACGTTCTTCTGTGGTCCATGTGACATCATCATGTCTCTTTCTTCAGAAATTCCCCATGTTGGTGTTAATTCACTATCCATGTGGGTCCTGGCATCTGACATAACAAACAGAAGACAAAAATGCCACCTGAGAATTATACCAAAAACAAAAGAACATTGAAAATTATAGTGGTTCCCCCTTATTTGCAGTCCCTCTTTCCAGTTTCAGTTTCCTTGTCAAGCACAGTCCCAAAATATTAAATATAAAATTCCAGAAATAAATAATCCTTAAGTTTTAAATTGTGCACTGTTCTGAAGAGCATAATGAAACCTAGCATCAACCTACTCCAACCAGATGTAAATCATCCCTCTGTATATGCTACCTGTCTATTACTAAGTAGTTGATTCAGTTATCAGATAGACCTTTGTAGGATTTCAGTACTTGTGTTCAAGTAACCCTTATTTTACTTCATAATGGCTCCAACGTGCAAGAGGAGTGTCACTGGCAACCTGGATAGTCTCTTGCTGCATCTAATTTATCACAGATATGCATATATAACAAAAAGACATGATAGATACATAGTTGATTCTTTTTACCCAAGAAAGCAGACCCCACAGTTACAAAGGTCCTGGAGTCAATCCCCTGTGGATATCCAGGAATAGCTACATAGGGTTTGATACTACCTGAAGTTTCAGGCATCCACTGGGGATCTGAAAACATATGGACCATATGTAACTATCCCTGGTGGCTCATTTGGTAACAAATTTGCCTGCAATGCAGGACACCTGGGTTCAGTCCTTGGATTGGGAAGATCCCCTGGAGAAGGAAATGGCTACCTACTCCAGTACTCTTGCCTGGAGAATTCCACGGACAGAGGAGCCTGGTGGACTACAGTCCATGGGGTTTCGAGTTGGACATACTGAGTGATTAACACTTTCACTTTCACAACAGAGATTTTAGAGATTACTAAACTCCTAACATCAGCCTGCTTTTCAGACAAGGCTAATAAAACGAAAGTGTCAAATATTCACAGGTAGAGAACAGTTGACAAGGAAATGGATTTGAGAATTAATGCATTAATTAATTAATCAGAAATATATGCAGAAGAGTTATGCTGGAAATGGTTTCATATTTGCCTATTTTGAGAAATCATCTATTTAAATCCTTCCCAGCATGGTTCATTTTAAACATACTGCTCTGTAAAGCTCTATAGTCACTGCCTCACTTACTTTTATAGATGTCTTCGGTCCCCTGTGCAGGAGGATTATCCTGTGTCTCCAGGCCCGCAAGCAAATCCCCTCTCTCTAGAAGTGAGACTAATGTAGGTTTGGGAATTGGGTATCCTGAAAAGGGTAGAAAATGGCACCTTTCAGTCCTGTGTCTGCTGTGTCAAAAGAACAAAAATCTCAAGAGTCTCAGTGAGACTAGAACAGATCCACAAAAAAGGGCTCAGGGCTGGGGAAAGCCAAGATTTTCACTCAAGTGGAAAATGAACATTTGTGATCTCTTCCTAAAACTAGACCCAAGAGTAAGTTCGTGATCCTGAGGGACATATACAAACAAAGGGAAGGAGTCATACCCTTCCCTAGACTAGAGGGAGACAAAAGTAAGCTGAAAACTTATCTAACAACAGACACTATTTACCCTGCAGAGGCCCTGGGAGGATGGAGCATACTCATACCAGGTGACAATTCCCTACATTGGGACCAAACTGACCCAAGACTTGTCCCTACCCAATAACCTCTCAAGTGGGTCATTTGGTCTCAGTCCCAGGACCATGGAGGATACAAGAGATGACTTCCCACTTTCCATACCACACCCCTGGCTGATAAGGAGGAAAAAAGGAAGGAAATAGGAAAGCACAGATCTGAGAACCAGGAGAAAAGTGGCCTTACCCAGGGACATCAAGTTCCCACAGATCTCCAGCATCACACTTCTGTACAGGGCCCTCTGTGCAGGAGAAAGGCCAGCCCATTCTGTCTGGGTGAAGTAAACAGCCACATCCTCAAAGGTCACCACCGCCTAAAACAAGAGGTTCCTACTGTGCCAGAGCCAATTCTCAGGCTCTGAGTGTGGGGCACAGGGGACAGGGACAGTGAGCTGAGTGTTAAATGACTATTGGTACAACAAAACATCTGGAACTTCTCTCACTAAAAGTTAGAGCTTTCATTTAACACAAAATTTAGTCTCATGAAACGTAACATCATGTTTTGAAAACCCTGGAAAGTCTCCCATGAATTAAAATCCCTAGAGCAAAATCTCTTTGATTTTATAAAACTTTCAATCTTTTATTAGTGCACCTACAAGTAAACAGTTAGCTTTAATCTCTTCAGACACCCACTTAGAAGAGACATTGCAGGACTGACCTGTTCCCCCTTCATTGCCCAAAGTGCCCAATCAATCCATCTGTTCCCCATGCATGCTCACTCTACCCCAGACCTCAAGTTCACATGACAGGAACAGAGTTATGGTTTGCCCTGATGACTGGCCTCATCCGACCTCATCTCCTGCTTGAAGAAGGGGTTGTGCAGCCTGTGCTCAAGAATGTCCAGCAGAGAGAACTCAGTGCTGCATGGGACAGTGTATTCTGCTTCCTGATGGATTTTCCTGGGGGAATATGCTTCTGGAATCAAATTGCTGCTGGGTAGTTCTTTTAACTGCTTTTCTTCATACACCTCCAAAATAATCTGTAAATGTTTCTGTCAACTAAGTATCATGCTTTTTCAATAGCTACCCTTTCCCAACCCTGATAGCCCCACTCTACCTTGCCAGAAAGCTCAGGATCTGGCTTAGAATTTTTATTCATTCCCCAGACTTTGATATCAAACTTGGTTACCTGAATATGCAGGGAATGTCCTCCCACCTTTCAATACCTCAACTGACTCTGCAGATCTCATCAGCACTGTCACCATCTAACACCAAATGCATCCACCCGATCTGCCTCCTGCCAAACTGGCTCTATCTTCAATTCATGTAACTAACCAGCACAGAGAGTGAAAGTGTTGTTTCTCAACACAGAAATAGTACAAATTTCATCCCAGTCTCCTAAGTTAGAAATTTGAGATTCATCCTGGACTAACTTGCCCTACTCACCACTCATTTCCAATAAGCAGTCAGTAATCAAATCCTGCCAATTTTATTTTCTAAACATTTCTGGAATCTGGTTCCTCTTCACTATCATACAATCAGTTCACTAGTACCTGCTGGGGATACTTAACTCCAGTTCTAGGCCTGTCCTGGGTTGACTCCATCCTCAGTCAGCTATGCAATCATGGACATATAACAACAAACTGACTCAGTCAACGGAATGACTTCCTTGAATGAGTCATCATGAACTACAACAATGGTTCTCAAGATGTGGTACCCCACTGCACTAGCAGGATCACCTAGGAACTTGCCATAAAGGCAAATTCATAGGCCCCATCCAAGACCAATCTGTGCTTTCATAAGCCCTCCAGGTGATTCTTATGCACACTAAGTCCAAGAATCCTGGACTATAGGATAAAATCTGAGCTTAGGAAACCAAGTTCTATCAGGTAACACATGATAAGGGGAAAGCACAAGATTGTACAGAGAAACTGGCTAGGAAGCTCTGCAAACAAAATCTAAGAAAAGGAATGACAAACCCTGAAGGAGGTCAATATAAAAGATGGGACAAATGGAAGAGAGAGTAGCCAGAAAGAGTCAGACTCTGAAAACAGTATCAAGGCAGAACAGAGTCAACAACTACTCAGCTACCTAGAAACTGAGTGGTCAGGATTATGACAGGGTGATACCAGAAACTGACAACTTATATAAGATCAGAAGATGGGAGCAACAGGGTAGACAGTGTCAGGCAGAGGGACAAGCCAGATATCAGAAATCCAGGACGGGGACTTGGGATATGGTTCATAGATGCTGAGTTACTAGATAAGTAAGTACCAGGAAGAAGGAAATAGTTAAGGAACACCCAGCAATTCATCAGTCTCAAAAAGTGAAATCAGCTCAAGAAATCAATTTCCTTATCCCATAAATGCTAAAGTATTTAATGTTCACTTCACAGATGAAGTTAAGGTGCAAAGAGGTTAAGTGACTGGCTCAAGGCCACAATGTCACAGAGGCTTTACAGGATCCCTAACTTCAGGTGTTTTGTCCTAGTGCAGATTTTTCCTGTCATAGCCCCCTGCCTTGATTAGCCAAGTCAACTTCTGAATAAATGATACAAGCTCCCTTCTTCCTGTCTTCTTCCTGCCATCACTCTGCCCCTACTTCCCAAGAACCTTGTGATCTCCCTGATCTTGATTACTCCCACAGTGTAATGGACACCTATAATGCCAATCTGAGTCCCTCATTCTCACAGGGCCCTCTGCAGGAGGAACCACTAAACCTGGGAACCCACTAGCTCAACAGAGATCCTCAGAGTACAGGAGACTATCCTTTTGCATCCCTGGACACTCTATGCAGCCACTGCTTGCTGGACTTCTGGCTGCTCATTCCCACGTCATCTGCTTTCCCCCAGCATCAGTCCTACTGCAGACAGTCAACAAGGGTCTTCCCACTGCTTTGGCTCTAAGGCTTCTTGCCAGAATCATCTCTGTCATCCCCCTCTTTCTTCACATCAGATCTCTCCAAGACTGACCTGAAGGAATCACAGCTCACCTGGTTCCAGACTTTCAGGGGCATGACAGCCATTATTGGGCTCTCTCTCAATGAAGGGCAGGGGCTGAGGGAAGAAGCAAAGAGAAACAAGAATAAGCCGATCCAGACAAAGGCTCTTTTTTAAAAACAAATCTGCCAATAACAGCAATAACCATTTACTAAATGGCACTTAGTAAATGGTATATTAATATTTCCCCACAATATGCCATGAGGTTTGAATTCTTAGGAAATTAAGATTTTGAAAGGTAAGTAACTTGACCTTGGGTACCAGAGACTGTACTCACCAACATCATGCAACGCTGTCTGTCCTAAGACATAAGAACAGGGGAACACGAATACACAAAGAGCAAACAAGCAAGACATCAGAAAACTCAAAGCAAACCCTATAAGAAGGAACCTAGACCTTTATTTTCAAAAATAAAATTTTACTGAGAAACATAAATGGTTAAAAAAAAAAGAAATACATTTTTGGATGATAAATACATATCCACTCAATCACCTCAATAATTCTTTAAACCTTTTCTTTTTCCCACATAAGAAAACAGTCTAAAAGAATAATTTTCTCTATGAAGGTCACTCAGCCAGTGGATGGATGAACTTGGATCCCAAACCAGACGTGCCTGATTTCCAGAGGCCAAGCTTTTAATAACTACATCAAATTGCTTCCAACAGGAATCTCAACAGGATTTTTTTCTTTTAGAACTCAATAAAGTGATTCTAAGGCTAAAAAAAAACAGATAAAGGTAGCCCCCCCCAAATCAGAAAAATAATCTTAGAGTAAGGTTTCCTTTTCTTGATCTTGGGGCAGACATCTTTTTTTCTTCACCACCCTCTTCTAGGACCCAGTGATAACCAGAAACCAATTAGCAAAAGACCATGAAAAGACCACTTCAACATGCCAAAATGTCTGGGTCATTACTTTAATTATTATCATCCCCTACAGACACTTTGTATTCTTGTTACCCACTCATAGCCTACCAAAAAGCCAGGATCTTCACAAATGAAATTCACTGCATGTGGCCATTTCCTGCTAGCCTCATCTTTGTGCCACCCTCTTTTCTTTTAGTTTAGCCACACTGGTCTTCTTTCAGCTTCTCTATTATACTAATTCAGGACCTTTGTACCCGCTCTGCATGAACCACTCTTCTTCAACCTTTAGAACCTTTGTAACTAATAGACTGTGTGCAATACTTTTCATTAGTCGGCCCTCTGTTCGTATAGATAACTGCCAGCTCACCACAGCCTGTCTCTACAGACCAGGTCAGGGCCCCAGGTTACACACTCCACTAGCACTGTATTCTCCTTCTTGTATACCACTTCTCTCAGTTCAAGACACTGTGTTTTCTTTATCCAACATTTATCACAAACTTATTTCATTCCAGGCCAAGTGTGAGACACGGAACAAACAGTCAAGAAAGAAGGGTGTGATCCCTTCCTTCATGGGGCTTAAACTAAAAGAAACACAAATATGAATCAAAGATCCTCAGAATTAGCTTTAAGACCACAATCGTGACTAGTGACAGGGACACTTTATCCTAGATGCGGAGGCTTAAGAATAGGAATTACTTAGGTTGAAAGGAAAATCTTTCCAAAGTTAACAGCATGTGCAAAAACATGGTCTCGAAGTGAAAGTCCAAAAAATCAAGGGGAATGTGCCTAAGACGAAGGTGAAGAAGTTGTAAGAGATCACGTCCTGCAAGGCCTTGTGCACATCAAGAATAACCGCACTGGATTAACAGAGACTTTTAATTAAACTGAAAGGTCCCTGGGAGAGGGGGCAACGGCCCTCTCATTCGCAGCTGCATCTTGGGAACCTAGAGCAGCAACTAGCATTTAGCGGCTCAGTTAGTAGCTGCTAGCCCAGGGAGCACGGGAGGCTGCGGCTGTGTGAGGTCAAAGGGCGTCTCCTTTTCATCCACAGCCTTACACAAGGCGGCCGCTAAGGACTGGGGCGAAGGCACCGCGGGCGGGGGAGACTGGCCGGCGGGCGCGTTAGCTCCCCAGACCAGGGGGCGCCGCCCGTCTCCCTCCACCTGGACATGAGGGACCAAGCTGACAGCCTTCTCCAGGGTGAAAGGTGTGCCCCCAGCAGGCTCGCTGAGGCGACAAGACCCAGAAACTCACCTCAGGAAAAGTGCAATGTGTGGTGTGACTGGAAGTGCGTAACTACGTCGGCCGCAGCACCCAAGTATCGCGAGCTTCCTCTCTAGGAAACCAGACCACACGTCTCTGTGGTCCCTGGCTTTCCTCCCCAGGCACCCGATTTTAACCAGCGACCTCAAATAGAAAAAGCTTATCGTTAAGCTAATCTCTAGCTGAAATCTGAATTTCCTTCAATTTTGTGTTGGCGAGGACCACAACAGTATCAGCAGTGCCTTGTGACTTTGTCAGCAATAGGAATCCCACGTTTCCATATCACATTACAATTGCAGTTTAGGGGAACTTCGATTTTATGCACCATCATTTTTGCCTTAGCTGACCAAAAAGTACAGTCAAACTAAGTGTTTTGTTGCAGTGTGTATATTGGTATGATTTACGTGATTGTGCCCTTGCTGTTGAAAACATAATGGTCAGAGACAGAATGCTTTCCCTCTAACGTTGACAACTAGGCAGGTATGTCCGCTCTTCCCACTATTATTCAACATCGCACTGGAGTGCTAGCAAGTGCAGAAAGGCCAGAAAAGGAAATAAAACGCAGAGATTAGAAATAAAACTGTTAAGATTTGCAGAGGACGTTATTATCCACATTTTTTTTAAAATCCAAAGCTACAAAACTGCTAGAACTAACAAGTGAGTTTAGCAAGATCACAGAGTTAAAGGTACAAAAAGATAAACTGTTGGAAACTGAAATACGCAGCAATAAAATTTCCTGTAATACAATGTCAATAAAAATTTTAAAATAGTACCATTTACAACAGCACAGAAAACATGACATAGGTATAAATCTCACAAAATATGTGTAAGATACACATCATGAAAATTACAAAATAATGACAGAAGAGATGAAAGAATACCTAATAAACTGAGGGAGATACTCTGTTCACTGATTGAAAAACCCAATACTAAGATGTCAATTATCCCCAAATTGCTCTATATATTTAAAGCAATCCAATCAAAATCCCAACAAGACCCTTTATAGAAAACGAGCTGATTCAATTTAATTGTATGTCAATCATTTGATAGAGCTGAAAAAAAGCAGTGGAGAAAGGAGGGGTTTCTTAGTAAATTATGCTCAAACATTTGGATGTCACAACAGGAAAAGAAAATAATATTCTTACTTCACACCATACTAAAATAAAGTCTAACAAGGGTGTCCACTCTCACCACTATTATTCAACATAGTTCTGGAAATCCTAGCTACAGCAATCAGAGAAGAAAAAGAAATAAAAGGAATCCAGATGAGAAAAGAAAAAGTAAAGCTCTCACTGTTTGCAGATGACATGATATTGTACATAGAAAACCCTAAAGATAGTATCAGAAAATTACTAGAGCTAATCAGTGAATTTAGCAAAGTTGCAGGATACAAATTCAATACACAAAAATCACTTGCATTTCTGTATCTAACAATGAAAAATCAGAAAGAGAAATTAAGGAATCAATCCCATTCACCACTGCAACAAAAAGAATTAAATATCTAGGAATAAACTTACCTAAGGAGACAAAAGAACTGTACACAGAAAATTATAAGACACTGATGAAAGAAATCAAAGATGACCTAAACAGATGGAGAGATATTCCATGATCCTGGGTAGGAAGAAGCAATATTGTGAAAATGACTATACTACCAAATGCAATCTACAGATTCAATGTGATCCCTATCAAATTACCAAAGGCATTTTTTCACAGAACTAGAACAAAATATTTAATAATTCATATGGAAACACAAAAGACCCCAAATAGCCAAAGCAGTCTTGAGAAAGAAGAATGGAGCTGGAGGAATCAACCTTCCTGACCTCAGATTATACTACAAAGCTAGTCATCAAGACAGTATGGTGCTGGCACAAAAACAGAAATATAGATCAATGGAACAAGATAGAAAGCCCAGAAATAAACCCATGCACCTATGGGCATTTTTTTTTTGTATTTTTTTTTTCATTTATTTTTATTAGTTGGAGGCTAATTACTTTACATCATTGCAGTGGTTTTTGTCATACATTGAAATGAATTAGCCATGGATTTACATGTATTCCCCATCCCGGTCCCCCCTCCCACCTCCCTCTCCACCCGATCCCTCTGGGTCTTCCCAGTGCACCAGGCCCGAGCACTTGTCTCATGCACCCAACCTGGGCTGGTGATCTGTTTCACCCTAGATAATATACGTGTTTCGATGCTGTTCTCTTGAAACATCCTACCCTCGCCTTCTCCCAGAGTCCACAAGTCTGTTCTATACATCAGAGTCTCTTTTTCTGTTTTGCATATAGGGTTATCGTTACCATCTTTCTAAATTCCATATATATGTGTTAGTATACTGTAATGGTCTTTATCTTTCTGGCTTACTTCACTCTGTATAATGGGCTCCAGTTTCATCCATCTCATTAGAACTGATTCAAATGAATTCTTTTTAATGGCTGAGTAATATTCCATGGTGTATATGTACCACAGCTTCCTCATCCATTCGTCTGCTGATGGGCATCTAGGTTGCTTCCATGTTCTGGCTATTATAAACAGTGCTGCGATGAACATTGGGGTGCACGTGTCTCTTTCAGATCTGGTTTCCTCGGTGTGTATGCCCAGAAGTGGGATTGCTGGGTCATATGGCAGTTCTATTTCCAGCTTTTTAAGAAATCTCCACACTGTTTTCCATAGTGGCTGTACTAATTTGCATTCCCACCAACAGTGTAAGAGGGTTCCCTTTTCTCCACACCCTCTCCAGCATTTATTGCTTGTAGACTTTTGGATAGCAGCCATCTGACTGGTGTGTAATGGTACCTCATTGTGGTTTTGATTTGCATTTCTCTGATAATGAGTAATGTTGAGCATCTTTTCATGTGTTTGTTAGCCATCTGTATGTCTTCCTTGGAGAAATGTCTGTT